TATGATTTTGTGCACAAAATAAACACACAATAGGTACAATGATAACAGCAGCTTTTGCCATAATATAGCACATCTATTGAACAGAATAATGGCCAGATATATATCATTCCAAGAAGACTATTTCTATAAAGAGTATTTATAAATTATAAAGTGCTGTACAGATGCAAAACCAACTGTAGTTATTATAATCAACAATGCTAACTGGAATTCCATAAGTCAACTTTGCCTAAGACCATCACAGCAGACTTACTAAACACTATCCATATCATTTCTAAGGGAGTCCCATATATGAAACTATTTTAAGCCAGCAATATTAACTTATCTTTAAGAGAGTTTTGTAGAAATCAGAGTGATTGAAAATTGGCTCAATTCACTGCCTGCAATATTTCACTCTCTTACTGTTGCCTCTAAGATTATAGGGACTTCCCTAAGCAAAGTGGTAGAAACCTTCGTTTTTTTTCTTCTTTGGGGGAAATTTTTTACATCCCCACTACCAGAAGTTCGACTCTTCATCTTTGCCTCTCTCGGCCCTAGAATCTTTAGCCAGCCGCTACACTAAAAAGCATCTAACTGACAAATCCACATTTTTTGTGCTTTGTTTTTCCAGAGCACGTTAATAACATACCAAGCCATAAGCAACAAGGGTACATATTTAGTGGGAATATTTCAGATACACTAAATAAGCCCACTGTAGAGATACTTGGAGCAAAGAATATTACACTGATGGCCCTTAATTTAGCTGACAAACATTTTTTCCAACTGATGAGGCCAATCGTAAATGGTAATGAATCATCCTGAAGGCACAATCCCTCTCAGTATCTTCAATATGCACAAGTCTTCTATCAGTTCTGTGTCATCACAGTAATTCACCACAGTGAGTTCCACTATAAAGTGCACTGCTCTCTACTCAAATTTTATAACTACCCCTCTCCCAACAATATGACTTTTCTTCAGTTCACTTTCATGGCTTCTTCTATTCTTCCGTATCAACCACATAAAGCAAGAATAGAAGCAAGTCACTTCATAGTAAAGGAGTAATGTCCTCTACCATGTTCGTGACTGTCTACAAGTCAAGAAATGGTTCTGGCCGGGCGCGGTGGCTCAAGCCTGTAATCCCAGCACTTTGGGAGGCCGAGGCGGGTGGATCACGAGGTCGAGAGATCGAGACCATCCTGGTCAACATGGTGAAACCCCGTCTCTACTAAAAATACAAAAAATTAGCTGGGCATGGTGGCGCGTGCCTGTAATCCCAGCTACTCAGAAGGCTGAGGCAGGAACCCAGGAGGTGGAGGTTGCAGTGAGCCGAGATTGCGCCATTGCACTCCAGCCTGGGTAACAAGAGTGAAACTCCATCTCAAAAAGAAATGGTTCTAGATTTATACTCTCAACAATTTCATGAGTACCGTTGGTCAATTCCAGAAAGAATTTGGAACCTCAATTTTACTTTCTCTGTAATAAGGGAGAAAACAAAATGATCTCTGATGTACCCAACACCTATCGAATTTTATGGTTCTGTAATATTAAGTATTATTCAAAGTAAAGATGGAGGCATAAAGACAGAGAAACATAATACATTCTTCAAGGGATAAAAGCCACATGTAACTAGACAAATCCCCTTTTAATATAGTTCATAAACTAGAAGACACTGAAAATGCCTTAAAATTCCTAATATAACTCATGGAGAAGTATGGAGGAGTTGTAATGCGACTTGATCAGAATACATCTGCTTGAATAACCAGAGGGGGGAAAAAAACACATGGTTAGGTAATTTGTATTTATCCAGAGCGGTGTTTTCTAAATTACATTCCAAAGAACGTTATTAATTGTATAAAATAAATAATAAGGATTGCATTTAAATGGTGACTGAGCCCTTGAGGGTTGTCTGGACTTAGTGGCTCATTTCCATAAAAGAGAGCATAGAAAAGGAGAAATAATAATTTTACAGTGTGTGAGACCTGAATAACATGAAATATCCAAGGGACAGAGGTTGACATTACCAAAGATGGGCCACACTGACATCAGGTACCTATCTCCCCAATATGATGTGATGAGACGGGCTCTTCACCTCTGTGATTTTTTTTTTCCCCAAAAGCCCATAACCTCAGTCTAATCTTGAGAAGTTACATCAAGCATACCTTCTGAAGGATATTCTACAAAATTCCTGATCATTACTCTTCAAAACTGGAAAGATTATGAAAAATAAGAAAAAAACTGAGAAACTCTCACAAACCATGCATAATGAAATGTAGTATAGTGTCTTGGAATAGATCTTGAAACAGAAAAATACATTAATGGAAAACTGTAGTATAAAGTCTGGAATTTAGTTAATGGTAACACACCACTAGTGTTTTCTCATATTTGACAAATGTATCATGATAATGTGATATGATAAGATTAGAGGAAACTGAAACTGGCTGAGGCTATATGGGAACCTCTCTGTATTACTTCCGTAACTGTTCTGTACATCTAAAATTATTCCAAATAAACAGCTTATTTAAATAATTGATGAGGATATCCATCGGCAAATTTGTTTAGGAAACTTTGGATTAAACAATTGATTTTTCTCAATGTCTATAGTTATCATAGCTGCTGGAATATCCAATAAGTATTGTGACTTTAACAGAGAATAGACGATGCTGTGTTTCCCAAATGTATTTGACCAGAAATATTTTTCTTCAAATAGCATCTTTTAGAAAAAGTACTGACACAGAGAAGTTTTCTCCCAATGCGTCACAGATTTCTGTCGTATAGTAGACCATGATCAAATTTTAATCAGTGACTGACTGAAGAGAGAAAGATGCTATGGACATTGAATTGGCAGAAGACGTGAAACTAGAGGCCAATGTGATGGATGAGAGAATAATCATTAAAATTATATTTAACAGACTTATCAGTAGACTAAACTTAAAAAGGTAACTATAAAAGGATACATATACAGTCTTCCTTTAGGTAAGCAAATTTAAAAAACAAACAAACAAACAAACAAACAAAAAAAAACTGAGTAAGTAAGAGAAGCAAGAACTTAAATGCCTATCATGTTACTGCGAGCCACTTTGTGCCTCAGGAGTTCTCAGGTCAAATTAGAATTGTCATTCTCAGTCAAGATGCCCTAATAGTAGTAGTAAGGCCATTTCTGCAGATTGTTTGCTTGTTATTTTTTATTTCTTTGTGTGCTTGTTAGTTCTTTGTGCTACACTGTAAATGGTCCTCAATGAACCATTTCCAGTGGAGAGGGAATAGGATGACGTGTGTCTTGGAAACCATGTCATAGCAAGAAATGTCGAAGGAACTGGGAATGTTGCCCTGGTGCACAGAAACCTTTGACAGAGTCCAGGCAAAGTGGCTCACACCTGTGATCCCAGCATTTTGGGAGGCCGAGGCAGGTGGATCACCTGAGGGTCAGGAGTTTGAGACCAGCCTGGCCAACATGGTAAAAAGCCCGTCTCTACTAAAAATACAAAAAATTAGCCAGGTGTGGTGGCAGGTGCTTGTAATCTCAGCTACTCAGGAGGCTGACGCAGGAGAATCACTTGAACCCCGGAGGCGGTGGTTGCAGTGAGCCAAGATGGCGCTATCGCACTCCAGCCTGGCCAACAAGAGTGAAACTCCATCTCAAAAAAAAAAGAAGGAAAAGAAAAGAAACCTTTGACAGGTCCTTAAGTACACAAGGCTACAGAAGAATCAAGCCTATTCTGTATAACTTCAGAAGTCTGAAGAAGGACTTAAGGGCAAGAAGCCGCACATCTGGGTTCAAAAATACTTCTGTGACCATTAAACACCTTCATAATGGAATGGATGTTCTTGAAATGAAGAGAGCTCCCTGACTCTGAGTCTGTCTAAATAGAAGCTGGATGTCCCTCAGTCCAGACTGCTGCTGGAATGTCTTCTACGTGTACCTAATAAATGAGTTCTACACGGCCTTCCAGTGCTAGGGTCTCAGAATCTATCAAACCACAGGGAAGGAAAAAAATGAAGAGGCACTGAGAAAAGTCACAAACCATTGAAAACAGCCCCTGAAGTACCTCAGGCAGCACTCTACCTCTCTTCTAACCATCACCCCTAGAGTGTGCACCTAAGAGATTTCTGATTAGTGTAATTTAGGACTAGTGGCTCAAGCCTGTAATTCCAGCACTTTGGGAGACCGAGGCGGGTGGATCACGAGGTCAAGAGATCAAGACCATCCTGGTCAACAAGGTGAAACCCCGTCTCTACTAAAAATGCAAAAATTAGCTGGGCATGGTGGCGCACGCCTGTAATCCCAGCTACTCGGGAGGCTGAGGCAGGAGAATTGCCTGAAGCCAGGAGGCGGAGGTTGCGGTGAGCCGAGACCGCGCCATTGCTCTCCAGCCTGGGTAACAAGAGCGAAACTCCGTCTCAAAAAATAAATAAATAAATAAAAAAGGCCAGTTTCCACTAGAGGACAGGGAAGTGATGGATTTATCTTGACAAAGTATTGTATTCACTCCAGAAGAAATCTGCCAAAATAAATAGACTCACAGACATATTAATAAGTAAATTTTCTTCTTTAAATCCACTACTTTTTTTCTCTTAGAGAAATAAATGCCTTATCTAAAGGACAATGTGTATACGGTATACATGTTTAAGGCCTGCTTCAAGGCTGCTCTCAAGCTGAGCCAGAACTATCACGAGAAGAGTGACAAGGGTAGCCAGGACACAGAACTTACAGCTGCGCTTACTCTTACGGTGCCGGCAGGGTCAGCCCCGGAGAGTGAGTGCCTCTTTAAATTTGCGTCACAGACGCCTGCTGACCTCACCCCAGTCCCGGCCCTGTGATTGGTCAGGCCGTCGAAGCCTCGCCCCTGCACGTCAAACACTGGTTCCGTAGGGAACGGCTGCGTACCACGTCTACCACCCGGAAATAATCACCGCCGCCATCGTTGCTGCAGAGGGCAACGGAGAAGCGGCCGCAGACCTGCCTTCCCAACCTTCCCAACCGTATGTAGGCGAAAAGCCAGTGCTGATACTCCCGCGATCCCACAATGTCCCACCGGGCCCCAGGGTGCAAGAGGGCGGAGTCTAATTCAAGAGATCTTGGGGCCTGCTGGGATGGCGGCAGAGGCGGCAGAGGCAGGGGCTGGAGCGGCCCCTCAGGCCCTCGGGGACCTAGAGCAGCTGGCTCCGGTGAACCACCACTGAGCTTTAAGATAAAGAACGATATGGTTGGTGCGGTAATTGGTCGCTGCGGATACAAAATAAAATCCCTAGAACAGTCAACAAACACCTCAATACACATCGTAAAGGGGGCATCTGAAGCAGAAGTAAACATTTTTGGTAACAGGGAAATGAAAGCAAACGCCAAAGCAGCCATAGAGACTCTTATTAGAAAACAAGAAAGCTACACCTCAGAATCCAGCGTTACTAATGCTGCATTCCAACCCCCTATTGGAAGAAATGGACGCAGAAATGACAGTGTTAGAGAAGCGCGGCCATCGTTAGATTGGGATCGAATTAGGGCAGTCCGCCTGGAGAGGGAAAGGAGCAAATGGGCAGATCTACCACCAATTAAGAAAAACTTTTACATAGAATCCAAGGCAACAAGCTCCATGTCTGAAATGCAGGTGATTAAATGGAGAAAGGAAAATTGCGATGTAACGTGTGATGACTTGAAAAACGGTGAAAAGCGTGTCATCCCCAAACCCGCTTGTACGTTTGAAGACGCTTTTCGGCAACACCCTGATCTTTTGAAAAGCATACGAAGGGCAGGATTTACAAAGCCAACACCAGTTCAATCCCAAGCATGGCCAATTATTCTACAAGGAATAGATCTTATAGGAATTGCGCAAACTGGAACGGGGAAAACGTTGTCCTATTTAATGCCTGGGTTTATTCATCTTGATTCTCAACCAATAGCTAGAGAGCAAAGGAATGGTCCTGGGATGCTGGTTCTTACACCCACTAGAGAGTTGGCTCTTCGGGTGAAAGCTGAATGTTCAAAGTACTCATATGAAGGTCTTAAAAGCATCTGCATATATGGTGGTCGAAACAGACAAGAGCAAATAGAAGACATTAGGAAAGGTGTGGATATCATTGTGGCCACTCCTGGGAGGCTGAATTACCTACAGATGAATAACTCTGTCAGCCTAAGAAGCGTAACCTACTTAGTTATGGATGAGGCAGATAAAATGCTGGATATGGGATTTGAACCCCAGATAATGAAGATTTTATTGGATGTGCGCCCAGACCGGCAGACTGTCATGACAAGTGCAGCTTGGCCAGATACCGTTCATCGACTGGCACGTTCTTATTTGAAAGATCCTATGATGGTTTATCTTGGTACTCTGAATCTCACTACCGCAAATGCAGTGAAGCAAAATATAATCGTTACCACAGAAAAAGGAAAACGAGCTTTCGTCCAAGAATTCATAGAGAACCTGATGCCAAACGACAAAGTCATCATGTTTGTCAGCCGAAAATGTATTGCTGATGACTTATCGAGCGACTTCAATATCCTAGGCGTATCTGCAGAAGCACTGCATGGCAACAGAGATCAGAGTGACCGAGAACGAGCATTTGAGGACTTTGAAAGTGGAAACATAAAGCTACTGCTTGCAACCGATTTAACTGATTTAACAGCCAGAGGCCTTGATGTTAATGATGTCACACATGTCTATAATTACGATTTCCCACTGAATGTAGAAGAATACATCCACAGAGTAGGGCGCACTGGACAGGCAGGAAGGACGGGCACATCAGTTTCTCTCATCACTCAGAGAGATTCGAAAATGGCTAGTGAATTGATTAAAATTCTGGAAAGGGAAAATCAGAGTGTTCCAGAAGATCTGGTACTAATGGCTGAGGAATACAAGTTAAATCAACAAAAGAGAGACACAGAGAAACAACCAAGAAAACCTGGACAAAGACGCAAGGAGTTTTATTGATGTTTAAGTTGCAAAGTTGTACCAGGCTACTAGAAGATTCCAGGCATGTTAATGTTATGCAGTATTGAATACACATAAGGAAGTATTGGAAACATACTGGCCATTTGAAGAGACAACTAATTCTTAAATAATACTGGTAAACTTTCAATATTGTGTCTGTTCCTTAATAAAAATGAGGCCTCCCCAATGAGAGAGTGAGAGAATTTGTGAAGAAAAAGCAAATGTTATATATTGGTTAAAGTTTGATTTCTTTTTTAAAATACTTTGATTTTAGGTTTGGGGTATATGTGAAGGTTTAGTTACATAGGTAAACACCTGTCACGGGGGTTTGCTGTACATATTATTTCATTACCCAGGTATTAAGCCCAGTGCCCAATAATTATCTTTTCTGCTCCTCTCCCTCTTTCCAGCGTCCCCCATAAAATAGACACCAGTGTCTGCTGTTTCCTTCTTTGTGTTCATAAGTTTTCATCATTTAGTTCCCACTTATAAGTGAGAACATGTGGTATTTGATTTCCTGTTCCTGTGTTAATTTTGTAGTCTGCTATGTCCATTTGTCTTCTCTAAAACGCTTGGTAGAAGACAACAATGGTGCTTTTCTAGCTTTCAAATAGTACTAAAGTGAAGCATAGCTTCATGCTTATCCAGTCAAAAGTTTCTCCCCCACACCCTCCGGCAGTTGGTGCCACAACAATTCTTAAAGTTATTTCCACTCTCATTCTCCACTTTTTTTAGTTCATTAGAAAATAAATGCTAGATTTTTTTAGAAGATTCCATGATTCTATTTTTATCAGAATGATGTCACCAACAGAGCAGGACGTCTGACTCACTGGGAACCAGTCCTTGTATGTGTTTTGTCACTAACACTTGGTTAAAAGTCTGAGAAAATCGCTTGCCTTCTCTAGGCCTCAATTTCTCCACTCATAAAATGAGATAGTTGTGTTAATTAATTTAGGGGTCCCTGTCACCTCTAAAATTCTGTGATAACGAAAACTGTATACCCAAGCCTTGTGGTAATACTTCCTCGTCTAATCTAGGGGAATATGCCTCCTTGTATAATAAATTGAACAAAACAGCCCTTTTCAATGACAAGAAAGTGCATTCTGCATTTATACAGATTTTGCAATGTAACTGGTTGGTTTTCCTTTTATTCTTTGCTTTTATTTTCATCAGGTTTTATTTTAATTCAGTTGGTCCTGGGAAGGTCAAAACCATATATGTACACATATATCTGTGAAAAAAATTAAGGTGACAGAAAAATTCATCTACTGGGAAAAACATCAAAACCAATCAAACAGCATTTTTGCCGTAAGAACCAATTTTAGTAAAACTCTTCCTAATTCCATTTATAATTCTACCTCTTATGCCTTATTTAGAGGCAGTGTGCTTCTCACATCTGTAAAAAGACATCCTCACAATGATGCTGAGTAAACTTTAAAATTCAGTGTTCATGAAAAGATTAGAATTAGTTATTTCTGGCAAAATCGAGAAAAATTAAGGCACCAATCTTTTTTCCTCAGCCTGCCTCAGTTGTGACTACAATTAAGTCAGAAAATATGGGAAAGAAAGAAGTAAAGGCTCTAGGTATAGGTATTTACGTTTTAAAGTACGGACTTTAAAGGTTTTTTGAAATGTAGACCTCAATATCTCTTGATACAATCAATAACAATTGTCAACATTTTTGAGTGATACATACCTGGCGCTTTATCTCACAATCTCTAATATCTGTAAGAAACCCACTCAGAAGGTAATCTTACCTGTGTTTTGCAGAGGATGAAGCAAAGTCAGAGAAGCTAACTTGCCGAAGGTCCCTAAATCTGGTTAAAGAGAAATTAAGTTGTATTTTCACCAGGAAGTGCTTGATTCCAATATTTACATATTTTTAAATTTCAGTATAGTAATTTTGTGTAAGGCAATATGCTTGGCTTGTCTTGGGGTTCTCTACAAGTTCAGATTTAGTGATACAGAAAAGTGTGTGCAAATTTAATGCAAAGGCAATCTATAGCAGAACTATAATAGAAGCTCAAATGGCTTAGGGATGTTAACTCAGAGGAAAAATGATAAATGTGTAGCAAGTTAGACTATATGTTATTTTCCAGAATTATTCTTAGGGGCAATGCTATATTTGTTTTAAAAAATGCAACAATTAAACCACTTGAGATAGTACATTTCCATAATCATATTTAAGTAACAGTAACAAGAAAAATTATCACTCAATGTCTATGAGTAAGAAAATGAAGGAAATATGCCTTTCTTCTACAAGAAAAGGCTGAAAAGAAGAACTAGGATATAGAGAAAGATAAGTAGAAATAGAGGAGTGATTGTCAACCAAGGGCGATTTTGTTCTCCAGGAGACCTTTGACAGTATCTATAGACAGTATTGGTTGTTACAACTGTGGATGGGTGGTGAGGTGTTACTGGCATCTGGTGGGTAGAGGCTAGTCACCCTACAATCTACAGGACAGCTCCATACAACAAAGAATTATCTGGCCCAAAACGATAGTTCTGAATGGGGCATCCCTGAGACAGCCTAAGAAAAACAACCAAAACCAACTGCATAGTAATCAAAAAGGCACTTCAAAGAAAAAGAAAAGTAGAGGGTTTCTAAGCTGTATTTTGTGGGTTTTGCGGAAAAAACTACAAGCATACTGTCTTTGGTATGGTCTACATTGCTGGTTCTCTACTAGGATCAATTTTGTCAATGTTTGGAGACAGACAGACTGGGTTGTTGTATTAGTCCATTTTCATACTGCTATGAAGAAATATCCAAGACTGGTAATTTATAAAGAAAATGAGGTTTAATGGATTCACAGTTCCACATGACTGCGGAGGCCTCACAATCATGGCGGAGGGTGAAGGAGGAGCAAAGGCAAGTCTTACGTGGGGAGCAGGCAGGAGAGCCTGTATAGGGGCACTCCCCTTTATAAAACCATCGGATCTCGTGAGACTATCACAAGAACAGCACGGGAAATTCCCACCCCCACGATTCAATTGCCATCTACCAGGTCCCTTCCCTGAGGATGCCGCTAAACATCACACAATGCATAGGAGAGCTCCCTTCAACAAAGAATTGTCTGGCCTGAATGTCAGTAGTGTCAGTTGAGAAACCTTGCAATAGATTAAGCAAAAATAAAAGCACAAACCTAGTTGCAGAGAAGCCAAATGTGGACTTTAGGAAGGAAATCAAAAAGTGATACTCATTTGTTGTGCACTTTGCAACATAAAACTCTCCACTGGCCAGGCGTGGTGGTGCACACCTGTAATCCCAGCACTTTGGGAGGTCAAGGTGGGTGGATCACCTGAGGTCAGGTGTTAGAGACCAGTCTGACTAACATGGTAAAATCTCATCTCCACTAAATACAAAAAATTATCCAGTTGTGGTGGTGAGTGCTTGTAATCCCAGGTACTCAGGAGGCTGAGGCAGGAGAATTGCTTGAACCTGGGAGGACGAGGTTGCAGTGCGATGAGATCGTGCAACTACACTCCAGCCTGGGCAACAGAGCGAGACTTTGTCTCAGAAAAAAATTTTAAAAACCTCCACCAACTTTCCTTTCTTTGGTAGAATCTGTATTTCTCAGCTGGAGTTGATTTTGCTCCCTAAGGAACATTTGGCAACGTCTGGAGACAATTTTAGTTGTCCCAGCTAGGGGCAGCATTGCTACTGGCATCTAGTGGGTGGAAGTCAGGGATAAACATCTTATAATGCACAGGACAGTACCTTACAACAATGGATTTTTCAGTCCAGAATATATGGTGTTGAGGTCAAGAAACTGATTGGTTGCATTGATTGACCAATACAAGTTTTGTGTCACTAAATTCTGTTTCAGAAATTCCAAGAAATACTGAGTTCTACATACAAATTGGAACAGATGGAAAGCAAAGCACTGAATATACACAGGAGTCAAAGTATGAGGATTCAACCGACCTCAAAGTTATTCATAAGATTCTCACCATGGTAACTGACAGTCCGTAGGCATTCAACAAATATTGAGTCCCTTCCACATTTCCCTCTCCCATCACCCACTATATAATGCTTGTTCATTATTCTGGGTGTTGCTCAGGCTTTCCCTACAATTTGGAATCCCCTTTCTCTTTCCTCTCTGCCAAGACAAATCACATTTACCATTCTGGGTCCAGCCAAAGTGCCGCATCGTCCCAAAGTTCCTATCTACTCTCCTTCGTTTCAAAACTGCTGCAGTTACAGTTCTTGTTATCTAAGAATAATGTTGACATTTACACTATACTAGCTTGCATTCCTACAGAGACAACTTTAAAGAAATAAAATGAATTAAGAGAAATTGCACTATCAAGTATTTAAATACATTATCAAAAATATAACAGTTCAAAGAGTTTTATCCCATGTGATTAACAAATCATGAGAGAACTGTTGAGAGCTAAATCTGCATAGGAATCTAGTAGGCAATAAAGGTAGACAGTTTAAAATCAGTGAAGAAAGAAAAACCTACTCCAAACCAAGTAAGTAAAATAAATAAATTAAAAATGCATAATATATAGCAGAACAATTGATCAACCAAAAACTCCTCCTATTAGAAAATAATTCCCACTAGATTATTGCTTTTATAAAAAGCAAAAGAACGTCAAGTTTATATAGAGAAATCGTTTCTGATATCAATGCGGAAAATAATTTTTAAACATAAAAGCAACCACACAAAAATAAAGGTAAATATGAATATGTTTGACAATCTTCTTAATGTCAAAAATACTATCAAAGGCAAAGGAAACACCAGAAAAATAATTTAAAATATATAATATGGTCATAGCTATTTATATTTTATATGCAGAACTTTTTACAAAGAAAAAAATAAAAGATGAATAAATATGGGTAAAATGTAAAAGGCAAGTTACTAGACAAGTGAACAACATATATATTAAAAAGTATTTGACTTATTTAACATCAAATGAATTAAAATTAAACCAATTATATAACTTTTCTCTAGCAAATTGGGCTAAGATTCTTTTTTTTTTTTTCTTGTTTTTTT